CTGCCTGTCGACATGCAGGACCAGCGGCGGGAGGGCGTGCGCCAAGGCGCGCTGAATGGCCTGCAGCTCGGCGTGGTCAATGTTCTGGTAGCCTCAGCGAACGGGGCGGGCGCAAGCGCCGCGCGACCACTGTCTTCGGCGACCCACGCCTCCCACTGCTTCAGCTCCGCGTCGCGCCCCGCCATGGCCTGGACATCCCGGGGGCACACCACTCCCGCGTCGATGATGTGGCCCTCCCTCCTGACAAATGTGCGGCAGGACGGCCACGTCCACCCCAGGCGATGAGCAGCCAGCACGCATGAAGAGGCTGGCCCCATCTGAGCTGACTGCGACTCTTGGGATCTGCTGTCGCTTCCAGACCTCCGACATGGTGGGAGACAGTCCTGGGTGGTCCCACACGTGCTCGGCCCAGGCTGCCATCGGCGCTGACGTAAGGGCGGGGCCAGGATCCTCGCCGAAGCACGCCAGCCTCGGCGTCGTCGAGCGGTGCCTCGAACGACCGGGCAGCGCTGCGTTCACCATGCTCCAGAGCTGTGCGACCTCCTGGGGAGTGAGGGCGGTTGCCCTGTGCCCGTAGGTGGCCGCTGGCAGGAGGCCCACCTCGGCCCACCTGGCCCCCTTCTCTTGGCCTTGACGACCAAGCGCTGGCGCTCGGCGAGCACTCGAAAGCGACCAGCTCGCTGAGGGCGGTCGCGAGCCGGGCGCTGGCGAGACAGGCGGCGGCGCGCCATTGCAGCCTCCAGCCCGCGGCCTTTCCAGCCTTTCCTGTCGATGCCAGGCTGGCTCGCCTGCTGCTCTCCACGTGGATGCCGAGCCTGGCGAGCCTCCTCCCCAGCGCGTGGCCCACCCAAGCGGAGGTGGCGAGGCCTCCTGACTTTCCCGGCACCTCCCCTCGGTTCACGTCAAGCAGTGGCGAAGCGTTTTGGCTCGCCTATAGCCCTACCAAACAATGTTCTAAGAACCTTGTGTGGTTTCCACGGAATGTTCTTAGAACATTTCTGGCGGAGTCTGTCTTGTATTATCCCATCGGGTTTATGTTCTGAGAGCATTGTTTTTGTTCTTAAAGCATTTTGGGGTTCTAAGAACATTTCGTGGTAGGACTAGGAGTGCCAGGACGGTCCGCACAGACCACGGCGCGCCGTCGGCCATGTCGTCCGCCACTCGCCAGGCGCTGCCACGGGCCCCCACGCTGTTGCCATCCACGTACTTTGCCAGGCCGAGCTGCGGCCAGCGCGACGCCAGGGCGTCGCAGGGCTCGAGGAGGACGAGGCGCAGGGCAGCAGTGGCGAACCGGCTGCCAGGGACGATCGTGGAGATCACCAGGACCGTCCTGCTGTGCGCTCCCTCCGCCGCGATAGTCTGGACAGCGGAGTAGCCGACCAGCAGCATGCGGAGCACGCGCCCAGGAAAACCCCATCGAACACCCCAGGCCCAGACGTGCTTCAGCCGCACCCGTTCGGAGCACTTGACCAGGTCCTCGGACAAGTGCGTCGCCTCCTCCTCCAAGAGGTGCTGCCACGCCGCCTGCTCTGAAGATCCCCCGGCGCGCGCCCAATCCCAATCCCGCACTGCGGAATTTCAACCACTCGGTCGCGAGAGGGTAGCGGAGGGAGGGTCTCTCAGTAGCGCACCAGCATGGGCATCTTCGCGATCGGGCGGCGCCCGCCCAGCTTCTTCGGGATCATGAAATAGTCAGGAGGGGAAAAAACACACAGACAATTAATCGTCGATTCCCCAGAACATATGGGAAAATATGGGAAGTGGGGGGGAAGACAATAATCCAGAAAATATTTGAAAATATGGGGAATCTGTTTATTTGTTTGTATTTATTTGTGTGTCCCAGGGCCCCTTCAAATAGATCAGAAGGTTCACTGCGAGGGCCACAACAGCGAGGCCTCGGCGCGCGCGAGAGCCTCCCCGACGCCCAAGAGGCACTGCCGCGAGCAGCGCTGCGGCACTCGCGGACTCCAGCGCTCGACTCCCAAAAGCCCGTGCGTGCACGGAAGCGCCCAGCAGCCCGGCGGCAGTCGTCCTCGGAGGGCGCGGGAGGAATCAGGGTCGTCGTCGAGGGAGCCGTCCGACCGGGCCCGAGGAAGAGCCTGCACCTGTGCAACGTGTGCCCGCCAGACTTCCTCCCCAGTCTGCAGCTCCTGCTCGCTCAAATGCGCCGGGGAGCCAGCCTCGCTGCCGTTCGCTCCCGCGGGCGTGGGCCACCGGGGAAGCGCGCTTGGGTGAACCGGTGCAGGCACTATTGTCACTCCCCGCCGCCGCCTCCTCGAGGTGTCGCCTGATCCTCGCCCGGGCCTGCTCTTGATCACCGGCCTTGGCAGCCGAGATGTCCGAGCCGAGCTCCTGTTATGGGGCGTGGAGGTCCCGGCTCGGCAGCGCCATGGGGTCCAAGGCTGCGATTCGCTGGGCCCACTGCTGCACTGTGGGAGCCCAAGCGGCGACCGTGCGCTCCGTAGCCGAGTCATTGGCTATCCACTGTGCGCGCCTCCCCAGACGTCGGCGCAGCTCTGCGCCCTGCAGGCGCGGAGCAAGGCGCGTTCTGTCGCCCAGCGGATGCGCGCCCGATGATGGGATGCCGATTCGCGGGCCGCCGTCGCTCTGGCGGGCACGCTTGTCTCGGCGCGAGTCGGGGTGTGTGCAGCGCGCCTGCAGGGGCAGGCACCCAACGCGGCAAAAACACTTGTCGAGCTGGAAACTGCCCTTGAGCCAAAATGGCTACTCTTGAGCCAAAGTGGCTACGGAGGAGGAGGCTCGAGCTGGAAACTGCCCTTGAGCCAAAATGGCTACGGAGGAGGAGGAGGGGGAGCGGTCCAGGAGGGGTGGGAAGAGAAAGGGAGAGAGAGAGGGTGGGTCGAAACTAGATTCCTTGGCCACCTCAACCAACCAACCCGACCAACCCATCCGCCAACCAGACCAACCAGCCAGCCCGCCACTCAGCCAGCCCCTCAACCCGCCCACCCCCGCCGCCTGCCTTCCGTCAACACCGAGGGGGGGGCGAAGTGCTTCTTGCGGACGAGCGGAGGAAATCACCCTCCCCGTGCCTGGCGGGGGGCAGCAGGGGGAGGCTCAATCGAAGATTGGGGCGGAGTTTCACGCCGCGGAGTTTCGGGCGCTGTCGTCGCTCTTGACTTTGCAGCGTGCAAGGCCCTTCGTTCCGCGGGAGGGCCTCGGGGAGGCCACGCGGCCCAGCATCGTCTGGGACCGCCGCCCCCTTCGGGGCGGCCGCCGCGCCCGATTTCTCAGCGAACGAGCTCCCGTCCTCGAAGTTGCCACTCGGAAAGTCCCGCGTGGGGCTCGTTAGAGGTATGATGTTCCAGCACCAGGAAAATACCGAAGTCGGAGGGTTCTCACGTGTCGTGGCCCCGGAAGGCGACACGCGTTCGACACCGTTTCGATATTTGCGGGGACTTGTTTCTGGGATTCGGTCTCTAAGTACGATGGGAGCAACGTAGTTTTGGATGCAACTCCTGGGAAGTCAAATTCTGATTTTGCACTGGTCCGAAGTCCTTATTCCCGCTTAATCCCGTTTAATCCGGCTTACTTTCGCTTCATCCGAGGCCCACTCCGGCGTAATAGCTCCCAAACGGGGCGTTATCCTCCTCAATCTTTCCGACGAACACCTCCCAGTAGTTGCCTCCTATTTTTGTGGGTGTTCGAAATTGTTTTTGGGATTCGGTCCTTAAGTACGATGGGAGCAACATAATGTGCGAGTGCCCGGCGGCCCGGCGGGGCGACCCGGGAAAGGCCACAGCGCCCAGCAGCGCGGGGCATGGCCCCCCCCGTTGGGGGCGGACGCCGCTCGCGCGCGCGCGCGCGCGTTCTCGACGGAGCGGGAACGTCTCGGGCCCCACGTGGGCATGTGGCCGTTTTTTCAAGCATTGTTCTGCCGATCGGCGCGGGCCCTCGCACCCCCCCTCCCCCCCCCCCTGGAGTACATCTTGGCTGGGGCGTGCTCCTTTACTGCTTGGGGCATGATGGGCGTCATGGCCCCCGCCGCCCCCCCTCCCCCCTCCTCAATTATGACGTAACGCCCCCCCCTCCTCCCAGTGCGCTCCAGGCACTGCCGCCGTGCGCATCGGGATCCACATAGGTGTCCGCATAGGAATCCGCTTTGGAGTCTGTTCGTCGTCGTCGTCGTTGTCGCTCGTCGCTCGTCGCTCATCGTCGTCGTGCGCGTGGACGCGGCTGGAACCTGAATTATATTCCGGGCTGATGGCGGCAATCATCTGGGGGGTGGTGCAGGGGGCCGATGACGTCACGTTTCGCGCCAGCGGCGTCTGGGAATGCTTCGGAATGACCGAGGACGGGTGGCAGCAGCATGTAGGTGGCGATTTGCCCCACAACGCCTGTGTACACCACAGTGCCTGCGTGCACCACAGCGCCTGTGTACACCACGCCGCCTATGTACACCACAGCAGCCGCGTGCAACACAGCGCCAGTATGTGCCACAGTGCCTGCGGGCACCACAGCGCTTGTGCTTGTGTGTATACCACAGCGCCTGCGTACACCACATCGGCCGTGTGCAACACAGCACCAGTGTACACCACAATGCTTGCGTGCACTATGTGCCTGTGTGCACCACGGCTCCTGTGTGCACTGGAGCAACTGTGTGCAACAACGCACCACTGTCGTATATTGAATGACAGAAAGAATCCTTATGACAAAATGGAGCGCCTGGACATTCCGCAAAAAGCAATTGTTTGATGTAGGACTCGAAAAAGGAATCCTTATGGAAACAAGAGCGGCGCTGGAATCTACGGATCCTTCTGGATCCGCCCGCATCATCCTAATTCCTCCCATCTGCGTCCAGGAGGCTCCAGCTAAATTGGCCGTCCGAGAACCAAATGGACTGATTCAACAAGAGTATTTTGCGGCGAGCGCTGAGATGCGCACGTGCGCTGCAGCGCCGACCCGCACGACAGGGGGGAAGGGTGACGCAGGAGGAGTGGGAGGAGGAGGAGGAGGAGGAGGAGGAGGAGGAGGAGGAGGAA